CCCCAAAACCCCAAAACCCCAAAACCCCAAAACCCCAACATTTTGTAGATTTATTGAATAATAATTTCTAATGGCAAATAGGACTCATAGTGGGACAGCCACTATTCATGGGACCAACCCACAATTTCTGATAGACAAGATCATGCGAATGAAGATATATAACGACTTGTATTACAAGGAACAGCTATTCGCTCTTGATGCTGAGTCCATTATTGAGAAAGCAGCAGAGATTGACCATATTGGAGGTTCTTATGGAGCTAATAAAGATCCATGTCCATTCTTATGCTTGACTCTTAAACTTCTTCAGATTCAGCCATCCAAAGATGTGATCAACGAGTACATCAAAGATGAAGATTTTAAATATCTCCGAGCTTTAGGACTGTTCTATGTGAGATTGATCGAAAGTCCTGAGAATATTTATAAGAAACTGGATCCCTATCTAGTAGACAATAGGAAGCTTGTCTGACTCAACGAGCCAACTCTTTCAGAAGGAAAGTACACTAAGTACAAAATCATCCATATGGATGAGTTTGTAGATAGTCTTTTACAAGAGGAGATCTTGTTCGGAATCGCTCTTCCTCATTTGCCAAAGAGGCATCACCTCGGAGAAGAGTATTTGTACAAGAGTCCGATTGAAGAAGAATATGATGAAATTTATGGAAAACAGGAGAAAAAGAAGGATGAATCCATGTCTGACGAGGACAAGCAGGAATCCTCTAGCGATGATGATGCTCAAGCTCAACCAGCACGATCTCCACAGGACGTAGAAATGAAGAAAGAAGAGCCTACTTCAAAGCCAAAGAAGGACGAAAACAGTATAGAATATTGGAACGAACAAAGAGCAAAACTTGGTATGAAACCTCTCAAAGAGAAAGAGCCAACAGAGGTAGACTCTCGTCAAGTAAGACACCCTCCTCAGTCCTCCTCCAGGGACACTGAGTTATATAAATCAGCTCGGAGGCGTGACCAAAAGCGGCAGCGTCGTCACAGCTCCAGTTCCTCAAGCCCAGCATCAAACAACAAGAAGAAAGACGAGACCAGCGTGGGCTACTGGAACGAACAAAGGGCCAAGCTCGGTATGAAGCCACTCAAAGATGGCGAAGAGCAGCCCGAAGACAGGAGAGAAAAGAAGCACAAGAAGAAAGATAAGAAAAGAGACAGGAAATATAGAAGAGACCGAAGCGATAGTTACGAGAGAAGAAGAGATAGAAAACGATCGAAGAAGCATAAGAGCAGAAGACATAGATCTAGATCGAGAAGTAGCAGTAGAAGTGATCGAGGCGATAAGAAGAAAAAGGATGAGACAAGTGTTGAATACTGGAATGAGTTGAGAGCGAAGATTGGGATGAAGAAGCTTAAGGAATAGTAAATTTCGAATTATTTTATCCAACCTCGTGCTAATTATTTGGGGTTTTGGGGTTTTGGGGTTTTGGGGTTTTGGGGTTTTGGGG